CTGCTGGGTGTGGCCTGTTATGCTAATGAGTTCCTGCTGGGTGTGGCCAACTTGGAAGCCAGCTGGAACTCCGTTCCTGTGCGTTCCTGCCCAAAAATAGCCCTGGCCCTGAGTAGCACTGGGATGGAAGATCACTGGGGAATTCCAGGGTTGCCACAGAGAGGCAGGCAAATTCCAAACCACCTCTGTACACTTCCTGCTTTGCACACCCTATGGAGTTGCCATAAGGTGGCTGTGACTTGGAAAAAAGGACCAGTGATCAAGCTCTTATCTGTGACGTTCAGGCCTAGGTGTCAGAACCCACAGCCAACAACGAAGTACACGCATTCAGGAACGGTGATACTTTTATTGCAGAGCTATAGATGCAGTAACATAAGCACTGTTAAGAATGGCAGCAGGGGGGGGTAACAGAGGGAAGCCCACCAACCGAGGGAGGGGCTCCCCTCTCTCTCTCTCTCTCACCTGCCCAGGCGTCCCCTCCCCCCCATGCGACGCCTCCAACCAGAAACACCAGAGCAGTTACTGCGCATGCTCTCGAGTAGCCATTCGCAGGCCCACCCTCAGCCGTCAGCGCTAACCAGACCCTTCGCCCCCAGCTCACTCCAAGGCGCATGCGCAACCGCACCCAGACGAGGCCGCCAGTGCTTTTCTATTGGCCAAAAGCGACACCGTGGGCGGGCTCATCCCCCTGCGAATCGTTCGGGCGGAAGACGGGATAGATTGGACGAGGATGGGGTAAAGACCGAGATGGTTGGCGTTTGTGATTGGTCACCGCTAGCTGAGGCTCTGTGATTGGTTCGCTCTGCGTCCCCGTGGTAGCTCCGCGTAGAGACGGATGAAGAAGTGACCTCGTTTTCCACCGCTAAATATATATAAGGCTTGCAAGACCTAGAACGATACCACTCTGAGATTATAGCCGGTAGCGTAATTTAGCTTTTTTCCTGGAAAGTTCCGCTGCATGTCACTTTTTCCCCCCCAATCTCTTTGGTAGTTCGCTCTTGCTCCCTCAACTACTAAAGAGAAGCTTCAATATTGAGTAGTGCGCGTGCGCATTACTCGTTTCCCGACCCCCTTTCTGCGTTGCCCATTCTGATTCGGCAAATATAGATTGAATTCCGATTGGCTGAAGCCGGGGTTGCCATGACAACGGGTGCTTGTTCCCGTCCGGGTCTCCTGGGCAATCAGCGATGGGTCCCGAATCCCTCCAACAGGTGAAAGAGGCGGGGCTTTAATGAATATACAGATTTGACAAACGTGTCGAAGGCCAAAATTCAACAGGTGCTGCTGCGGAGGCACGAACCCCGCTTCACCTGTTGAATGCCGCAGCTGAGAAAGTCTCTGAGTGGAAGGGGACTTCGGAGACTGAGTGCGGTTTGGCTACTAGCTGGAGTGGAAAAATTTCATTACGAATAATAAAGTCCAAATCCGTATGATATGTTCCATTAAGACCAGCACCATGTGGTGTTAGTTTGATTGGCCTTAATAAGAGGGTCTGTATAGATGTTGATTTGTTTGTTTTACCTGGTTTATAGAATGCCTTTCTCACAAAATGGATTACACATAGGCAGGGATTTTGCTGTGATCCCAGAGGCTGTTTGATGGACTGAATTATTTTCATCATCTCTTGTAGGCTTCCTTGAGTCTCAGTGAAAAAGATGGGCTACAAGCGAGGTTATCAATAATATTAACTTGGGGGGGGGGGTCTCTTTTCAGAATACCGTAATAAAGAACAGTTGATGTTTGAACCATTCTGTACATAAAACACATTCTCGCTTTTAGTGTGGTGGTTTTGCACTGCCTTTAGAGTGCATGCAGACTGTTCCCTGCCCTGCTTTCATGAATCCGGACTTTTGTTGTCAGCTCCCTCTGGCATTCTAACGGGCATGTAGTTAAGAGGGTCAGAGCAGTATCTGAGAGACCCAGGTTTAAATTTTCACTCATGCCCTTGGGCCACACACATTCTCAGCCCGACCTATGTGAGGGACACTGTGAGAATAAAATGAAGGTGATGAGAATGATGTACGCTGTTTTGGATGCCCATTGGGGATAAAGATGAATTAATGAATTAATTAATTAAATAAATCAATAGAGGCCCCGGTCACACAGCAAAGTTGCCGCGGGAGAGGCACGGGAGTCCCGCGGATTTTCCAGGTGCGATCTCACTCCAAGATCTGGGAAGCGCAGTGCTCCCGTGGCGAACCCGTGGCTCCCCGCCAAAGGTGCGGAGTTAAAAACTAGAACCTACGAGGTACTAGTTTCCTGAAACTGCGGGCCAAGAAGGGCGGGCGTCTGATCGTGTTCCCGGTGGACTTACATGGCATCCGGTGCCCGCCGCTGTTCGTCTCCGCAGGTTGCGCAACAGCGCCCAACAACGCATGTGCACAAAAAGCGATTGCTAGTGCGATCGCGCCGCGCGGCTTCTGTGCCGCGCTGCAGGATACCCGTCTGATCGGAATTTCCCCCGAACCACGAGACCTCGACCGGGACGTGTGCTTGGGCAGCCGTGCGTTAGTCTCCTCCGGGGCAATTAGCCACGCCTCCCCCCCGCGATATTCGGCCCGTGTGACCGGGGCCAGAATTTGTTAAAATGGTCATGGTGGGGAGTCTTATGGGTGCCTTAAAAACTAGCACTTTTCTTGTGTCGCACAATCAGTCTATCTGTTAGTCTTTATGATACCATAAGCCTTTTGATTTGTTTTACCAGTCTAACATGGCTAGCCTCTGGAAATGTAATTTCTTTAGTTAGAATTATATTATAATAATAAAATTCAAGTGTCTGTTGCAGTAGATCTGGACTAGAATCTGAGAGAACCAGATTCATTTCGTTGTTCAGTCATGAAAGCTCACTGGGCAGTTACAGCAAATCTTTCTCAGTCTATCCTACCTCACAGGGTGATTGTGAGGATAAAAGGGATAACTTCCATATCACCATCTTGAGTTCCTTGGAAAATACACAGAGAATGAGGAACATGTAATGGGCATATGGCTGCCTAGATTTCATTCATGAGGAGGAGGAGATTGGATTTATACCCCGCCTGTCACTCAGAGTCTCAAAGCGGCTTACAAACTCCTTTCCCCTCCCCTCCCCACAACAGACACCCTGTGAGGTAGGTGGGGCTGAGAGAGCTCTGACAGAAACTGCTCTTTTTCAAGGACAGCTCTTATCAGAGCTACGGCTTGCCCAAGGTCATCCAGCCAGGTGCAAGTGGAGGAGTGGGGAATCAAACCCGGTTCTCCCAGATTAGAGTCCGCGCACTTAACCACTACACCAAACTGAGGAAGAGCCCTGTCAATCCAAACATTTTTCTTGGAGAAATGCCTGGTCCTGTCAGGCTGACCTGGAAGTGATCATCCTCAGACATGTGGTGGCTTTAGAATATCCCTGAAGTTTACTATACTGAGAAAACTGATTACATTTTTTCTCTTTCTTTCAGCCTCAGCAGCACAAAGCAAAGATATGCATGTGGTAAGTGGCATCCCTTTGCCTTCCGGTGGAAGTACCAATCCCGCTCCAGAGACAGATGCAGTTTAGTTTGTGCAAAGGGAGCCCCTGCCTTTTGGTGGTGTTGGGCCTCTGATACACTCAGGGGGCTGCCTGTGTACGTTAACATTGTACAGGTAGGACAAAGTTTGAGTTTCAGGCGCGCACGCACACACAAACACATCTTCAGGTACAAAGAACTGTGCGTGCACACGAAACCTTGAATAAAACTTTGTTGGTCTTAAAGGTGCCACTGGACTCAAACTTTGTTCTGCTGCTTCAGACCAACACGACTGCCTACCTGGAACTGTCTAGGTAAGGTTGGCAACCTGTTCATACTTGCTTGTTTTTCTTTTTCTTCTTTTGCAGGAAATATCTGGATGTTCACTCCATGGATCTCATTGACAAGACCCAAAGCACCGATGAGCTGAAGAGGTGATAGAGTTATAGCTCTCACAGCAGGAACCCCCCCCTCCCAAAAATATAAAAATACAAAAATGTGTGTGTGTAATAAGCTAAACTAGTGAGTTATTGGATGGGAGACTACCAAGGAAGTCCAGGGTTGCTATGCAGAGGCAGGCAATGGGGGCAAATCTCCTTTGTACATCTCTTGCGTTGAAACCCTGCGGGGTCAGCATAAGTTGGCTGCGACTTGACAGCATTTTCTACCGCAATACATGTGTTTGTCCATACAAATGCAAAACCTGAAATTGTTCATATACAGCCCAGTGCATAACAGAGAAATATAGCATACAGAAAAATCTGTGACTTCCTGCTAAGGTAAAGGTTCCCTTGCTCGAAAGCCAGTCGAGTCCGACTCTAGGGTTGCGGTGCTCATCTCCGTTTCAAAGCCGAAGAGCCAGCGCTGTCCGAAGACGTTTCCGTGGTCATGTGGCCGGCATGACTAAACACCAAGGCGCACGGAACGCTGCTGACCTCCTGCTAGCCCTATACAAAATGCAGGTTTGCGCACTAATTTTTCACACTCTAGTCAGGTCACAACTTCAGCCGTGTATACAGAGTCCTATTCGGGTGTCTTAAGCAGCAACAGCAGCCTTTATCCCCGGAGGCAGGCACAGGAAGCGTGTCTTCTTCAGGTTGGGTGGTCCCACAAGCACAGAGCAGGGATCCAGTGCTTGAGGAATCCCTATTTTCCTCAACACAGTCCTTTTGAGAGCGTGAGATTCAGTCTTCCAAGGAACCTGTACACCCAGTGAAAGGCCAGGCGACTCATCCACTTCCTTGACCCTTACTCATGCTTTACAGTAGCATGATACGTGATATTAAATCCTTTGCAGTGTGATAAACACTGGTTTATTTAAAGACCAGTCTTTCAGCAATACTAATGACGTGAGAACAGAACATCACATCACTTCCTGTGGATTAAAACTTCTGATAGCCCCGCAGGGGGAAATGATGAAATGAAAGGGCTGGACCCAGTTCCCGGAGAAGGGAGTTGCCAAGACTAGGCGCTGCAGTTGAGACAGCCCCGTCCCAGGCGCTGTAGGATCTCACCTCAGCTAAAGTGGCCATCAGAAGCCCTCGAGGCTCAGGTAGGTTCGGGTGGGCAGAGGTGGTTCTTCAAATATCACAAACTCTGCTGCGTAGCACAGACTTATTGGCACTCTTTTTAATCTTGGATCTAAACCGGGGCAGCACCAAGAGTTCTGTGAATGGACGTCCCAGCCATTTCCCCCCTTCGATCGCAGGTACACAGGGGTTTAGTTTAGACTGGGTTAATAGCACAAAGGGGAGGGGGCTCAGGGTCCCCTCCTCACCTTTCCCCCCGCGGCATCACTCGTTGAGCTGCCGTTTGCCCCCGTGGGGTAAATATTGCCACCGTTACAGGCGCTAACCAGCTTCATTAAGGCAGGGAATGGTCTGTGTTTTTTGAAATCGGATTTGAATTTTATCTGGTAGCCCTAGACTCTGCTTCCTGCATTCCCTTACCCCTTGAGCCTGCAAGGGGGGTCCCCCGCCAACCTCCTACACAGAAATGAATGCAGAGTGGAGATGCGCGTGTCGCATCTGAAGCAGCGGGCTCTAGTCTTCCCAAGCTCGTGGTGGGGAAGTGCCGTCAAATTGCATGGCCAGCTGAGGGCAGCCCATCGGGTTTCAAGGCAGAAGACGTGGAGAGGGGGTGGGGTGTGCCATTGCCTGCCTCTGGCTCCCTCGGTGGCCTCCCATCGGATGGTGCTGGCCAGGGCTGAGCCTGCTTAGCTCCCCAGATCTGATGAGGCTGCTGGGCCATCCCGGTCGGGGCTCAAAAGCTCAGGCTGGAAGGAAAATGCAGCGAGCCTCCAAGACGCTGCAAGACCCCTGCTTGCTTTTGCCACGCCAGGAGAACACGGCGAGCCCTATGGAATCGTGCAGGGACCCCATCAGTACTTGTTGTGTGTTTCCCCAAGGATAAGCAGGAACTCCGTGGAGCCATTTCATTTGGAGAAGAAGGCGTGCGGGAAAGACGGGACCTCCTCTGCCCTTGACGCTGCAGTCCTCCTGATCCAAATGGAGCTCCTACACGCCTGCTTATCTAGACAGGGAAACTGCTCGGGACTCCATTTGTGGGGCTTCCAGAATCGCATCTAGTTGGGAACCGGACAAACGTCTTCGCCTAGGATTTCCAGTCTCCAGGCAGCACCTGGAGATCTCCTAGGACAGTTGATCTCCAGACAACAGAGATCAGGTCCCTTGGAGAAAATGGCTGCTTTGGAAAGTAGACTTTGGCGTTATACCCTGCTGAGGTCCCTCTCTTCCCCAAACCCCACCCTCCCCAGGCTCTACCCCCCCAAAACCTCCAGGTGTTTCCCAACCCAAAGCTGGCACCCTGTCTTTACTCCAAGGAGCTGGGTACAACAGATCACAATGGCTACAGCCCTTCAAAACACACATCTGCACTCGATAGCCATTTTATCCACATGCAGTGCTCACCGGCAGCCCTCTGCAGATTTACTTGGAAGTAAGTTCAAGGAGCTGTGGTGGCTCAAGTGGTTAAGACGCTGAACTGCAGGCTGTGGAAGGTCAGTAGTTCAGCAGTTCGAGACCCAGGGTGCTGCAAGACGGAGTGAGCTCCCGTCTCTAGTTCCAGCTCCTGCCAACCTAGCAGTTCGAAAGCAAGACATTGCAAGTAGATAAATAGGTACCACTTCAGTGGGAAGGTAACAGCGTTCCGTGCGCCTTTGTGTTTAGTCATGCCGGCCACATGACCACGGAAACGTCTTCGGACAGCGCTGGCTCTTCGGCTTGGAAACGGAGATGAGCACCGCAACCCTAGAGTCGGACTCGACTGGCTTTCGAGCAAGGGAAACCTTTACCTTTACTTTTTTAAGCTCAAGTAGGACGGACTTTTCTATTACTGTGGTAGGAACAGGCTGTAGAGGACAATAAAAAGACCCCAAGTAGGGAGAGAGCTGTCATGCAATCTTGAACACTGTTAACCAACATCACTGTCATAGCTGCATGGAGCGCTAGGTACTGTGAATGAAGCTACCAATAATATTCAGTGCACACGGGTTTAGAGAGACTTCAACCATCTGACCAGTAGTAAAACCAAAAGTCAGTAATCCCTGCTGTTTTCAGTGATTTCAGCTGTGTACAGCCATTGCAGTAGATTGTGCAAAACTATGGCAGACTCTCATCAGTAAGAGGACCAGGAAAGGGGAGGCTGGAAGAATTCTGCATTAAAAGCAGCACACGCCCGTAACGATTCCTTCCCTGTTCCTTCCTCTCGGCCAGTCTCCTCTCCGAGCTGCTCAGCCTGCAGGATTTCCAATCCAACCCACGCTCCGCCATCTTGCTGGATCTGTACTTCTACTCCATCCAGTTCTGCCGGCAGCAGGGGTTCAACCGGGAACAGACCTCGGCTTTCGTCTCCATCGTGAAGGACACGCACGAGGCCTGTGTGGGTAAGGAGTCAAAATGCCACTGGAGGGGATGGAGGACTAGGAGAGGCTATATTAAGAGCCGTCTGTGGGATGGCCAGGACTCAGAGGACTCCCGTCACTAAGCGCGGAAGATTCTGCAGGCCAGGGCGAAGTGGTGCTATACCTTGTGGCTAATAGCCACTGATGGACTTCTGCTCCATATGCTTATCTAATTCCCTTTTGAAGCCGTCCATGCTTGTAGCCGCCACCACCTCCTGTGGCAGTGAATTCCAAGTGTTCCAATTCCAACTCCCATCACTGAGTGCGGAAGATTCTGCAGGCCAGGGCCAAGTGGTGGGAGGCTGGAACCCCATCCTCCCCCTATTATCTAGCCCGGGTGCCCGTGGCTCTAGACGACAGCCCGCTCCCCAGTCTCAGCCCCGTGTGCAGTACCATAAGGAAACAAAGCAGTGCCAGTGATCCCAAGCGACAGGGCAGCAGAGGGAGAACGAGGACCAGTGGACCTTCTGGCCACCAGCTGAGAACTGGGCTGTAGGGA